GCAATTTTATTCAGACATTAGGTACAGGTCTATGTTCATTTTCCGAAAACAAAAATTTCGATTTTTTTCGAAAATCAACCATTTGGAAAATATTGACTTTCAATAACTTCTTTGGAAAATCAATAATTTTGAACTTGAACCATGCCCAAACTAACCGGATTATTATTTTTAACTTTGGTAATGTCTGATTAAAATTCCAAATTAACCTAAATTAACCGGGTTATTCTTGGTAAGTTTGAGTTTGGTAATGTTTGATTACAATAAATTGCAAACTAACACAAATTTTGAAAACATGATGGTATGTTCGATCAAAATTGCAAAGTTGCCCAAACTAATCGGGTTATTTATCGGTACGTTTGATTACAATTGCAAACTAACCCATACTAACCGCGGTTAGTATTGGTAAGTTTGAAAATATCTTAGTAAAATTGCAAACTAACACAAACTAACCGAGTTATTATTGAAAAGTTTGATTATGTCTGATTAAAATTTCGTACTTAACGGGTTATTATCGGTGAATTTGGAAGACTCCCCGGTAATGTCTGATTAAACAGAGAAAGTGTGTTTACAGAAAAAGTGTAAATTTTACTGAAAATATTTTCCAATATTAGATGGCAGCTCTACGCCTTGTGCAAATCGGTAAAAAACCAAAACCGCTTTCTGCGCCTTGAGTGATTTTCTTTCAATCAAGCATTGTTTGTTATCGTATTTTATTTTTTCCTAAACCGGCCCACTTGGCTCTCCAGCCCACCGGGAATCGTCCCGGAGTCCCGCCTGAGTCCATCCGCCCCTGATTTTGACAGAATAACTAAAATTCAACTTATGGGGCCTTATTCTTGAAACCGGGGAGCAGCGTTCCCAGGAGAACGAGTGTTCCGTCTTTGTAAGTTATATTGTTATTTACATATTATCACTGAGAAAGACGGAACATTCGTTCTCCTGGGAACGCTGCTCCCCTGTTTTAAGAATAAGGACCCTGGAATATCGTTAGAGGCGGACAGATAGATGAATGAGTTGCACCGGTGCACATTTCTTGATTATTTTGGTCAAGTAAATGAAGATTTCAGAGAGGAATACGGGTCTTGTTTACACCACTGATGCAGCACTACCATGACCCTTCCTCGAACACCTGACCTCTCCCGGCTCATGGGGGTCTTGTCATCACAACAACCATCGATTTATGAATGAGATGTGATGTCTATCTGTGTTGAGATGCATTGGATTGATCTATTTTTTATTGAAAAAAAATTATACCCACATGTGCTTAAAATTGGCAAAATTTTGGTCACCAAATAAATTTTTCTTCGCTTTTGGATTGCCTTAGCGGCGCTTAGGGGGCGCCGGATAGAAGTCTCCCCCCCTAGGGAAAGTCATATCGCTACGGCCCTGTATTGCACACAGGAATTATTCATTAGCGTTAAACAAGAAACGGCCAATACGAAATTGGTACTCCCAGAATAAAGGGCTCGTATCGAATATTTTCAGTTTATTTTTCAATTTGTCATTTTATTTATTCATCCAATTAAATTTTGCGATATATTCACGTGTGGGCGAGGCCATTTTGAGCAATGATGTCTCCCCACCCCGATCTCGCGAGCAACTCACCTCCCCTGGCCCATGGGTGGTCTTGTCAACACAACAAATATCAGTTTATGAATGGGATGATCCGTCTATCTGTGTTTTGATGTCATTGGTATATTACATACCGAGTAGGGAAGTGTTTCATTCTCGAGACAGAAATGAAAAATTTCCTTTGAGGTTTGTATAGGTACTATTTTCTTTGCAAGCACACCATTAATTATGATTAGTCATTCAATTTTTTTAATATTAAAAAAATAAAACAAACTTGCCAAAATTTGTCATTCACTGTTTTGACGTTTTTACCTGACATGTTCTTATTGTTGCCAGCAAAGGTAGATAAATTACAGTGAGGAAAATCGGTGGGTGAAGTCGAATAGGGAAATCGGTGAGGGAAATCGAAGAGGGAAGTGACACAGGTAAAGTGACACTTCCAAATTTTTAAAAAACCAGTTATGTCAAGATTATACAGGGTGAGTTACTAAGCGCGCAGTGGTCAATATCTCCTATACCAACGAAGATCGGAGAAAAAACTTAATACAAAACTTGTAGATAAACATGAGTACTACATTCCTAAATTATTTTTCAGTATACAGGGTGGCCCAATAACTAGTAGTGACACAAAGTTATGTTTTTTCAAATGCCTTCCCCTGTATATTATAACATTTCTGCATTCTGTGGAATATTTTAGATATATTTCATGTATAATGTCATATACCTATCTTCAACTGTTTGGGAAATATTGACAGTTGAAAATTGACTTTTTTGCATCTTTGAGAGACTGTGAAACCTAAACGGTTAATTTTAGAGGAAAACGGATTTCACATTCCTATTTTAGATTTTCATAAGCTATCATTTGACACCAACTTTGAATTTAACCGGAGATTAATAATTTATGCGGAATTTTTAATCATGGATTAAATTCAAGATTGGTGCCAAATGATAGCTTATGAAAAACTAAGATAGGAATGTAAAATCCGTTTTCTTGTAAAATTAACCGTTCAGGTTTTACAGTCTGTCAAAGATGCAAAAAAGTCAGATTTCAACTGTGAATATTTCCGAAACAGTTGAAGATAGGTATATGACATTGTACAGGGTGTCCGAATTTGGATGGTTTTAATAGGAAACATCAATTTCTGAGCAAGATACAAAAAAATTAACCCTCCACTCCGAGGCTCAAATTTCATGAATTTTTGATTCGTGCAAACCGCATTTTGATATCTTCAACCGTTTAGCCGCTAGAGGGCGATTCTCGATTTTGAGCAATAATGTGAAACCAGCATAACCGATCATAACTTTTTTGTTTATGAAAATTATTGATTTCCGTAAAAACTTTCTAAAAGCACTTTTTCAAGCAGAATTCAGTGACGTTCTCAGTTTTTTTCTAGTTGGTCCCAACTCCGAGATATTGACCAAAGTCTGGTTTTCTTCAATAGGACACTCTATATATTAATAGCTCATTAGAAAGCACGGCTTTTTCTGATTTCAATGATATAAAGTTCGATAGGTTTATCTCTAATAGTTTTCGAGAAAAAAAATTATTTCGGTTTTTGTCATAAGAAATAATGTGTAAGAAAAGGACTTTATATCTGTAAGGAAACTGAGAAAGGTCTCTTTCTAACTCATTGTTTCTTATGACAAAAGCCAAAATATTTTTTTTTCTCAAAAACTGTTAGAGATAAACCTATCGAAATTTTTATCATTGAAATCAGCAAAAGCAGAGCTTTCTAATGAGCTATTAATATATAGGGTGTCCCATTGGAAAAAATCGGATTTTGGTCAAAATCTTGAAATCGAGGCCCAATAGAAAAAAACTGAAAACGTCACTGAATTCTGCTTGAAAAAGTGCTTCTAGGAAGTTTTTACAGAAATCAGTTATTTTTATAAACAAAAAAGTTATGAAGATTTCACAGTATTGCTCAAAATCGAGAATCGCCCTCTAGCGGCTAAACGGTTGAAGATATCAAAATGCGGTTTGCACCAATCAAAATTTCAAGAAATCTGAGCATCGGAGTGGGGGGTTCATTTTTTTGTATCTCGCTCAGAAATTGACGTTTCCTATTAAAACCATCCAAATTCGGACACCCTGTACATGAAATATGTCTAGAATTTTCCGCAAAAGCCAGAAATGTCATAATATACAGGGAGAGTTATTTAAAAAAACATAACTTTGTGTCACTACTAGTTATTGGGCCACCCTGTATACTGGAAAATAATTTAGGAATGTAGTACTAATGTTTATCTACAAGTTAAGTATTTAGTTTTTTCTCCGATCTCCGTTAGTATAGGAGATATGGCCCACCGCGCGCTCAGTAACTCACCCTGTATATATGATTGCAAATAAAATTATTTACTGTCTTGTGTGCGTATTTTCGCAGCGAGAACTTCAGGAGTTAGGTCAGCCGAGAAGACCATAAGTGGCTGATTCTTTCTATTTGACTCACAAAATCGAATTTTGTCATTTTAAACTCTATCCAAGAAAATCTTAACTTCATTATTATGAATCAGCACTGAATCATCAATATTTGCCATAATTGTCTAATGTCTCATTTGTAGCACTTGTTGTTACTACTACTGTCTACTTTGTCTTCTTCAGTCATTAGTTTCAATCGTTTTTGAACATCATCTTTCCGTATTTCAGCGGCATCTCGGATTTTCTTCTGTCCATTTTCACTTGATGTTACTGTTTCATTCGTGTTAATTTGACATATTACGCATTTCGTTTTATCAAAGGGCTCTTCATATTTGGTTTTTAGTAACAAAAAAATCAGAGACGCTTTACTGCCGACTGTATCACCCATGTTCAAGTAATTACATCAAGGAGAAAACCTGGAACAAACACAAAATGTATAAATATTGTAGAGGGTTACATAAAAATTAAACTCACTCGGTGTAAGGGTTAATCTGAAGGGTTGAATTTTACTACTATAATATTTTTCGACTCCTAATACGTACCTAGATTTTGTGACATCAGACTGAAGACTGTAGGCTTTATAGTTCCTGTAATACTGAAATTCCGCCATTTTTAAAAATAGCGCACAAAAACCAGTTGCGCCAAATTCGTGATATCTTCCCAAGTTAAATCACTTCTCTAATACACCTGAAATACAAATTTAAAATTCGTTTCTCTGGACAACATTTTTTTGACGGGATTATCCTGTGGGGCCTGGATTATAATCATTTAATCAATATTAAAGCATAATCAAGCACCCACTGTAAATGAAGTGAGTCGAAATTGCATATTATTGTTTGCTGTTCGCCTGAGGCAAAAATCAGGATCGCCAATTTACAGGAAGTCACATAAAATTTACTCAAAAAACCCTTGTTAGATTAATAAAGTTGCTTTTTTAGAAGCATTTGAAAATTCTTTAAGCATCTATGATCTTTATTGAAATCTCTTTCTAATTATCCCATCTTTTCAGACGAGAAATACATAATGGACTGTCTCCCACACAAAATGAAAACAGACATAGCCATCAATGTTCATATAAACACTTTAAGTAAAGTGAAATTATTCGCTGATTGTGATGAGGCCTTAAGAAGAGAACTAGTTTTGGAATTGAAAAGTGTAATTTATTTACCTGGAGATATAATTTGCAAAAAAGTAAGTGCTGCAATCGCAAATGAACGATATTTTCAAAAATTTATTTTAGGGTGATATTGGCACAGAAATGTATATAATTCAAACAGGAAAGGTGCAAGTGATTGGCGGAAAAGATGGTTTAGAAGTCCTGGCAACATTATCAGAGGGAAGTGTTTTCGGGGAAATAAGCTTACTTGGAATACCTGGGATGAATAGACGAACCGCTGATGTCAGGTGGGAATTAGCACTACAGCCTAAAATTATCATGGTATAAGTATTTTTGTGTCTATTTTTTTCTAGGTCCTTTGGATACTCAAATCTATTCGTGCTGGACAAGACATCTTTAAATCAGGCCTTATCGCACTATCCAGAAGCTCAAGAATTGCTCAATAAAAAAGCCAAAATGCTCATGAAAAAGAATGCGGCCCTTGAAAAGAAAAATAATGCAATGATTGTTATTAACAATCCTGTTCCACCTGAGAAACAAGTGAAACTACTGGAAACCGTTTTACAAGTGATGAAAATTTGATTTTAAATGCGCGGCAAATAGTGTATCTCAATAATCTATTTCTAGGTTTTGCCTCCTGACTCGAAATCCAATAAACTCTTAAGATATGGTAGTAGACAAAATCCAAGGAAACGTCCAGAAAATGAAAAATTTAAATACCGGAATAGTTTGCCGGCTATAAAAAATTACGAGGGTTTAGATCAGGCAGATAGTGGTTCAAATAATCAGCAACAGATCTCAAGTAATAGTAATACCGATATTGAAGTTGAATGTGAGGAATCTGAAGAGTCTGAAGAGGAGGCTAAAGTTACTGTTCATAGAACTTTAAGTTAGTTTAAATTTACTAACTCAATTTCACAGCAAGTATTATAGTTTTTAATCATACTTCTTTTTGTAGAGAATGTGAAAACCTTGCGTGTTTCGCATGAACCGCATATAAATAAGATAGGTAAATATGATATAGTTTTTGAAGATGATATATAATTTTACCAATTAACAAAAAGGGAGGAAATTATGCTTTTTTCTCAAGTAGGTATTTACATATTTATAATACCAAAAAAAAAGAATTAAGAGACATATTTGTACTTGAATTATAGAGTTTATCATATTTTTGTAGAAATTTAATTTGTATTTTAGACAAAATAAAAAATATAAATTAGTTTTTATTGCGTTGTCATTTCATTTCCATCCTAAATGAAACAGTCATAATCTCAGGTATGAATGTTTAATTTATTTAAAAAAAATAATACATTAGGTAGATAGGTTCATAAATACAATATTATTAACACAGAACTAAATAAAAAGTGCTTATAATAAGACACCACAAACTGACCAATTTCTCTCACAAAGTTTTTATCATTTCTAAGAATTCTAAGAGATGAAAAGTTTTATAAAATACTGTTATAGACTGGCTTGAGTTAAATTGCATCTTAAACTAACACTAATATCACAATCGTATATTGATATCTCGACTATCCTTGTCGCCGTCATCCTCAAATGCTGTATTAATTTCCCCATTTTCAGATTTTTTCGCATTTTTTCTATCCTTTTTTTTTCCATTCACAAAATTAGTAACTGTATTATCCAACCTTTCACCGCCTCCAAAATGCTCAGTAATCTGAAACAAAGTTTTTCCTTCCGTTTCCGGTAACCAAAAGTACAATGCTATGAAGCCTAGAAAACTAACGGCGCTGTAGAACCAAAAGGTACCTGGTAAAGTGAGAAATGATATCATTGCGAAGAAAAGTTTATTAGAGCCAAATCCTAGAAGGTAACTTCCTGCGCCAGAGAAACCGCTGGCTGTTGCTCGAATTTCACTGTAGAAGACTTCACCTATAATAAATTTGTTTAGGATTACAAAAATATTTAGTTGTTAGTAGATACCTACCAATAAGCATCCAAGGTAAAATCCTTATGCCAGCATGCGAAAAAAATGCGGCAGCTACCAAAAACGTCATCGGTATCCAAGCCTGCTCATCAAGCTGGATATCCTTGTTTGGCTGCAAACCACTAATTTGTATGTACTTAATATCCACTACTTGAGCATAAATAGCCACCACAAAGAAGCATATACCAGTACCTATCAATGAAAAAAAGTTCATGCGTCTTTTTCCAACAAAATGAACTAGGATGGAGCTTAGAATGCAACCAAGAGCTTCAGCTATCCCTAAGATGATTGTAGCATAGTATTTGTTAATGGGAGCTCGTAAGGTAGCAAAAACATTGACAGCATAAGTTTGGAGAGTGGTCATTCCAGAAAAGTGACCAAGGCCAAATGTCAGTAGTACCAACCCAAAAGGCCATAAAAAGTTTTTTTTCGTATACAATTTCATATTGTTTTTAAACTGTCGTATTCTACATTGTTCTCCCTTATCATTGCTTTTTGAATTCTTCCTTAAGTTCTCATAAAACTCCTTAAACTCTTCTTCGACATCGGACATTTTTCTCCATCCTCTCAACCAAGCGATGCTTTTTTGAGCATCTTCTAGTCGATTCTTGGAAACCAACCAATACGGGCTTTCTGGTACGAAAAACAGTAATATGCAAGCCAGTATTGGCAATGTAGCGGAAACTAAAGCCACGGTACGCCAATGGAGAAAGGTTCCTAGTAGGAATTGCGTTAGAATTCCAGAAATTACGGCTACTGTTGAGGTTGACGCTAGAACACCACGCAGGTTAGGGGTGGTTACTTCTGCTAAGTAAGTTAGAGTCTGTAAAGAAAAGATAAAGAAACGTGATTAATTTGTAAATTTTCCCTATTATTTCAATTCAATTAATTATAGTACCGAATTTCAAGATGAGCTTATTTTTTTTCATCGGAAAAAGTGATCTAGATAAGAAAGCGTACCAACGTTATATGAGAGCCTATTATAAATATTGTCATGGCTCTGGGGTACGTGAGAGAAATCTTGGGTCCGTTTATTCAAAATCAAAGTCCAATTAACACAACAATAGTTTATTCCACGTTACTAGAAACTCTGACACTAATTATTTCACTAATTAATTCAAACAACTAAACTCTTTACAACTCTCAACATTAATCACTATGTAAATCATATCACAGTCAATCTTAAAAAACTAAAAAAAAATAACTATAATACCGTCATTTCATTCATTCTTGTGAAATCCAAAATAAACGCGATTATCTCTTTGCCTGAATAAGGCAGTATATTCTAGATTTCAAGTTAGATTCTGTACACCATGGAGAAAGCGCACCGCGACACTGCCCTCCTCTTATGGTTGATCGTCCCGATCAACTTCACGCACATGATATTTCGTTAATCTGGTCCAGATGTACAACTTTCATCTTACTCCTGTTGTTGCGCTGAATTCGATAAACCAAATCATTGATCCTCTTGATTATTCTGTAGGGTCCTACCCATGCTGAAGACAATATCGGCGACACTCCTTTCTTTCCACTATCCATCTTCTCACATAAACCAAACAAATAAACGGGTGAAATAAGTATTTATTTTTTATTTTATAAATCAACCAGTCTAGGCAGGCGAATCAAAATAAATAACAAAATAACTGACATAACCTCTAAAAGAAGACGCACATATGCCAGTCGCAGGGTACCCAACTAGCAAATTCTGTCAGTGATGCAAACTTAAATTTAGAAATACAGGGCGCAAGCGCGCCTTGTGACGTCAAATCATTTTAAAAAATAACGGAAAATAGTAAAATTTCAAATTGGAATATCTCCTTTAATATCATTCTAAAAAATGCGGGAAAAAAACCAAGAATAGTTTTTGATGTGCTTAATTCAATAAAAAAATAAAAAAAATCATGAAACGACCCTATTGGATTCCAAGTCGTAGGTATCTGGTCTTCATTCGTTCACTGGCCAGCTAGATATGCTCCCGAGCAAAATCATGTATTCCCAGAAGTCGTGCCCTTACTTCGTCGGCATTATCTCGAATTTCTTTCCGTTCTCCTTCAGGTATTCCAAACAACAGATCGCAAGGTAACCTGAATTCCCTTCCAGAAACGATTCTAGCTGGACTTTCACCTATTGACTCATGAACAGCTGCTCTGTAAGCCATTAAAAATAAATGCAAGTATTTATCCCAATCCCGCTGGTTCTTTGCGACTACTTTTGTCAGGTGTTCCTCTATGGTCATGGTCTTATTGAATCGTTTAACCATGCCATCAGACTGTGGATCTAAAGATGTTGTCCTTGTCCTACGAATGCTCATGATATCACAAATTTACTTAAAGATGGCAGATTCAAGTTTTGTCCCTGATCTGAATGCAGCTCTAGTGGCACACCATGACGACTGAAAATTTCGTCCACTAGTACCTGGGGTAATAGTGATGGCTTCTTGATTGGGAATAGCGAAAACTTCTGGCCATTTACTGAAGTAATCTATGATAACCAAGATGACTTAGTTACCACGATCTGGCAACATCTATCACTATTCTTTCAAATGGGAGACCAACGTTGTACTGTTTCAATCATGGCCCCTCGAGATCTTAGTTTGGGGTCTTTACTGGTAGCACAGATGTCGCAGTTCTTAACGTCTTCATGATAGTGAACCCAGTAAAAACGTTCCCGAATTTTGTCCAAAGTCTTGTTAATTCCAGAAAGTGCCCCTGAAGTTCCGCCATGTATTTCTTTTAATACATATTCTACTCGATCTTTTGGAACGACCAGTTGGCTCTTAGTAGATTTCCCATCGGCACTTTCCCAAACTCTTTAAAGTAAACCATTTTCTACCGTCAGACAATTCCACTGAGCCCACAACGCCTTGTAAATCAAGCTCTTGTTCGAAACTTCCCTCCATTCTGGCCTACATTCATCATTTTCTTTAAGATGTAGAATTTACCCGATGTCCTGGTCTGCCTCTTGATCCGCTTTTATTTGTTTGGTAGTTCATTTAACATCAACGATAAGACCCGTTTTTCTCACAGCTGGACCAGTGTTTTTCTCAGGCATATCAATTTTTTGATGATGCTTGCAGTCTTCTTTGCATGGCCGTCTAGACAGAGCATCAGTATTTTCATGCAGGTTTTAGGTCGATGTTCAAGGCTGGCGTCTCTAGATCTCCAAAAGCGCTGGGAACGATCTCTAGATGGAGAGGACATCCTAAGTCTACAATCCCATGGCATATGTCCAAGCTTATGGCACCGGTAACATTTTACGCGGTTTCTCGGTGTTGGTGTTTGTTTGGAGTCGTTTTCTATTTGTCTAACTTCTAGTAATAGTTTCTTCATTTTCTCCATAAAATTTCTCATAACCTTCTCGAAGCTACCATCCTCTTTCGACGATTGTTTATCCTTTGGGTCTTCAATGGACACTGCTCGTATTCTGGGTCCAGGGGCGAATTAAACCTTTTTTCGCCTTTGTGCGATTAAAATCATTTCGCCTCCTTCCAGGCTCTGGCTTATATCATTATGTGTATTTCATTTTTTCATTTGAAGACTAAATAAAAAAGACAAATACTTAGTATTGAACTTCGTTGACCAGTCAGAAACAACTACTCTGAGGGCAAATACCCCTACCGGCGTTGAACTACACTGATTGGTCTGAGCTTTCGTTGGCAATGAAAATTATTAGAAAGTTTTTTCAGGTAATGACCAACGTGAAATCAGGGATATAAGAGTCCCTGTGGGAATCGACCCACTGAGTAGTGGACCCCGCATTCCCCTGCCAGTCCTTGACGCGTTTCGTCCTTGTTAGGACTCATCAGGAGGATATAGGCTGAAGCTCCCTGTCCAAGCAATATTGAAAAATTGAACTTCGATTCAAGTATTGAATTAAAAATGGTATGAGACACGTTGATTATAATAGTTCCAGGTCACTTGTCTTTTCATCTAGAAGTGTGTTTCTAAGATAGTCTTCAATCCTCCTTAGGGTGAAAAAGGACCTCTCTCCAGACGCGTTAGTCGATAGAAGGAATTTATAGCAAGGGGACGAGAATTACCCCTAAGGCATGAAGAAATGGAATATAGCGAATACCGATAGCGAAACTGAAGAAAAAAGTATGAATCAAGAAAATTGTAGAAGAAGAAGAAGGGAACGAGGAAGATGACCCGGAAGTGCAAGGACACCGGACATAAAATGGCCCGCTCGATTAAAGGACTGCACTAAAGAAGTGGTAATATAGGAACCAAGACTTACCAGGAATTAAGTTAAAAATCTAGAA